GGAAAAGGGGCGGGGGGAGCCCTGCTTCTCGCTCCCACCCTGTCCCGGCCAGGCTCCCGAAACCAGACTTACCAACGCTTCTCCTTCCCAGCCTCAGTCTCCCTTCCCCACCGGGCGAGCTTCGGCCCCAGCCACCACGCACGGCAGGGGCATGCTGCGGGGTGAGACGGGACCCCGCTGGGCGTGGAGCCGAGGGTGCAGGAGGAATGGTGGCTGTTCGGCACGGCCAAAACAGGAAAGTCTGCTTTGCCAGCCCAGGAACCGGGATGGCCCCAGCAGCTCCGTCGGCCCCACCTCGCCGCTGACCCAAGCGGTGCTCACGCAGGCGAAAAGCCAGCAGGGAACTCCCTGCCGGACCAGGAAGCAAAACCTGCCCTCCTGCCTGCGAGAAGCCGGCGGGCATCACTGCCCGGCTCTGTGCCCTGGCAAATTCGCTTCTTCGAGTTACCCCTGCAGCGACGCTGGGCTGGACCGCGTGGCTGCAGGCACTTAGCGCAAGGGGACGGACGCTTGCGAGGGGACGGGTGCATGGCCGCATCCATCCCTGGTTAGCTCGGCGCTTGGGGAGCCCAGCTCGTTGGCCCACAGGGGCACGCGGTGGTTTAATGCACCATGCGAGGGCCTGGGAAATGCGTGCGGCAGTGGGGATGAACGAGGATGCTCCAACGCGGCAGGGAGGACAGAGGGAGCGAGGGGGCACTGCTTGGGTGGCTCCATCCCCCAGCACCAACAGGAGCAGCACCAGGCACACGGCCAGGAGCAATTTCACCAGCATCCCTGTCGCGTTAAATTTCTGCTTGCACACATCTTCCCTTGCTGCCAATTCAGCAAAATCAGCCCCAAACCCGCCTTGTCACGCAGAAATTTGGGGCGGTGCCGTAAGGAGGGAGCGATACCGCCGGTGCCCGATGGCTGATGTGGTCATGGGGGGAGAGGCCCCAGAAACCAGACCCGTCCCAGCTCTGCCCGGCCACCCTGGCTCACCGGTCCTGCCAGATTTTCACATGGCCACCAAGGCATAGCCACACCGGGTGCCTGGCCACTGGGGAGGTGCCAGGGCTGCCCCTTGGCCACCCGAAACACGGCCCCACTCACAAGCACCCTGCACTCCTGCCGCTCAGAGAAGCATCATCTCCAGGAGCAGGAGATGCTGTGGGAACGATGCTGCAGCAAACTTCTCGGGGGGGAAACACAGGTGCCAAAACACTTTTTGCTCTAAACTGGCAGTCCCGGAGGATGCATGGGAGAAATGCATAAGGGGGACAGGGGGAAAAGGGAACACACCCAATAAAATCCGTCAGGGAAAGGGGGTTTGCATATGCGTGCTAAATGCTGAGCATATCAGTAGCCTTTTCGACAGGCTGTTTGCTAGAGACAAGCATCTCGGTGAAGCCAAGCTGCGCGGGACCCCGCTCACAGCCTGCATTTTGGGAGGAGATTTGGTGATGCAGGTGACAACCTTGTGCCACGCAGGGGGACGGCTGCTTGGCTTTAATGCAGGTGAGTTTGGTCTCCTTTGGCAGGAGCCAGGCTGGGGCGGCTGCTGCTCCGGGCCATCTTCCAGCAGCGGGGCAGGG